ATCTCTGGGTTGGCATCACTGCATCCCAGGGTTGGGTACAAACCCAGGTGTCAGCAGATGTTTTCTGGCTAGACCTCCCAGTTGGGAAGGAGGAAGTGATGCCATTCTCCTGGGATTTGTCTGCCGGTGGTAGGTGGTTTCTGTTAACATGGGCTTGGCTTGGGAAGACCCAGGGCTGTCTATCAGGAGTACTCAACAGCCAGGATCACACCAGGACATTCATATCTCCTGTTCCAAAGGACACATGGCAGAGAGGTACAGTGCTCTGTTACTCACTACAAGTACCAAGGCTCCACAGCACACTCCCCTCAATATAAAGAACAAGTGAGTATGAACGTAAGCCCCCCGGAACCATCATTCCTGTGGTCACTAGATCTTCCCAAGAAAAAACATCCCCAGTCAGCTGCTGGATTCAAATACATTGAATGAGGATGGCAAGAAAAGGAGGAGAGAGGGATAAATGATCCTTGGCCTGTCATCATACCCCTAGAGTTAGATGGTAACTCATTTTAACTTGTACCCAAATGTTGAAATGAATCAGTGACCTTTTTAGTTGTATTGGATTCTCAATGAAAGCAGCAAGTTAGCCTTGATTTTTGTCTCCATACATTTTGTTCCTAAACAATTAACTTCCTTCATTTGAACATTTGCTGCCAGCCCGTGTTTGCCCCTCTACCAGCCATATGTTTTCCTGCTGTCATAACTGTTGGCTAGTTTGTTGTTGAAACCGTCCACACTGGCAATACTGTTCAAGCCAGGTCTACTTGGGTACTTCTCAGCTAGTCAAGCCATACCCCTTTTTGCCTTTTCCCTAAAGAGGAGGATATATACAGAATCTACCCACATCTCTGGATTTCTGTGACTGCAACCCTGTCTTGAGTCACCAGCAATCAACTTCTGTCTTCCAGGATGGTGTTGGCAGCCTCTGGAGTCCACTCAGCCCAGCAGCTTGGTGCCCCTTCTGACAAGGACAAGCTGAATAAGTTTTGATTTTTTTTTTTTACCCACTGACATTTGTTACATCTGTTATTCAGTCTCTTAGGATAGAATTTAGGTGTGCCCAGAAACACCTGGAGATTTGTTCCTCCACTCAGGCTGTGCAGGAGGGCTGCTGATTCCTGCATTGTTTGGATGTAGAGGAATGAAGGAATGACAGAGAAGGCTAGTAGGAACTTTCCTTTTCCGATAAAATTGAGAAAGGAAAATGGCATGTCACCAATGTGGACAAAAAAATAAAACATCCTCATTTATATTTATACTGTGAGATGCTGTCTTTCGTGTTGAGGACTGAATCACCAAAGTCTGCTGTACTTTGATTGCCAGCTTCCCCACAGTGGCTCTGACCTCCCTGTGACTTTCAGAGAGGCCGGCTGGGGTCTGGCTAGATGTGAGATAAAGAAGTTCCTGAACTTTCAGTGTCACTGTGGTATATTGCCTTTGACCAGGAAATCAGATATTCCTGCTTAATTCTCAGGATGCCTTCAAAACTCATGCCAAAGCAAACTAGTTTTCTTAATGATTGTTTAGAAGATAGAAAAGCACATCCTCTTAGCATATAAAAATGTCATCCAAAGCTGGGCACCAGTGGCTCATGACTAATCTTAACTACTCAGGAGTCTGAGATCTGAGTATCATGGTTTGAAGCCAGATCAGGTGGGAAATTCCGTGAGATTCTTCTCTCCAAGTAAGCACCTAAAAAGCCAGAAGTGGAGCTGTGGATCAAGTGGTAGCATTGAACACAAAAAAATACAAAAGCTTAGAGATAGTACCCAGGTCGAGTTCAAGTCCCAGGAATGGCACAAACACACCAAAATGTCATCCCAAATATGCCCCAAACAATTGGAAACTAAGCACTCTTTCATCACAGTTTGTCATGAAAATTTAGAAATTTCTTAGCCTGGGGTTTTATTTGACATTAGAAACTTATTTTAAATAGCCAATAAAAAGCAAACTTGTGATACTGGCATTCTGTCACTCATCTTTAAGGTTCTGTGTTGGAATGGACTTCGTTTCTCTGTGAGGCATTTTATATGGGGCTCTATGGTAACTCCTGGCCTATACTCATTTGTCCACAGGCCATCTCTTTGGCAGGACTGCCCTGGCCTTGGTGGCTGTTTACTGAATCCCAGGTACTTTCAGGGTGAAGACTGTTGTGTTAAAACCACCTGCCATCTGTTGGTGCCATTTTCTTTTTTTGGATTCTAAATGATGAGTCACTTATTTCTCCTGCTGCTCTTCCTGCTGCCAAGACTAATTTACCTATTGGGCTTTATTGGGGACTATGTCATGATGCTTTGTCCCATGCCAAGTTCGTGTCTGCACAATCCTCTGAGTGCCGTCACTGGGAGAGGTGGATGAGCATCTCCTTCAGGAAAAGTGAGATCTCGTGTGATACAGTGTGGGCCTCACCCTGGGATATGGCAGCAGCCATGGACATCACTAGGCTCCAGTGGGAAGTTCAGTGGTGGTCTCATCTTTCTTCCTGGGACACCCATGTGTGGGTGTGGGACACCATATGTGGCCCAGGGGAGGCTTTCAGGACCATTGGTTACACACATCACTAAGATCTATGACCACAAAATGGGCAAGGCTAGCCTCCCCAGGGCCACCAAAAGTAGCATGCAGACCCAGCTGAGCCCCTTAGGGCAGGGTGCTAGTTGGTATTGCTACATGCACAGCCACCAAGATCCTCAGAATTTTGGCATCGTCTGTTCTTGCTTTCAATAACTGGAAGTTAGGAACAATTGATATAAGCAAGGATGCAAGTTGGAAATGCAGCAATCGGGGTGGGGTGGGGTGGGGCTGGGGAGGAGGTCCTACTGTGAGTATCTGAAGTGTGTGTGGGGAGAAGGACTTGGCTCTGAGAGTAGAAATAGTACTTTCCCAGGGAAAAACAAAGGAGACAGTCTGGACACTTCTGCCTACTGGGGTGGTGGCCGAAGGCTTAGGCTAAATAAAATACAAGATACACTTCTCCACAGCATGTCTCACACAAATCAGTTTTAATTGTTTGTATTTTGTCTAAAAAATTATGATGGTTCAAATCTAGTATTCTTCACATATCCTAAAATATTTCTACGCTCATGCCTTCCTTTTGTTCTGCTACCGCAAAATGCTAAGCTAAATACCAATAGCAAACCCCAGTGTGCACAACATTCTAACTCTGGCTAGGTACTGGTGACTCATGCCTGTAATTCTAGCTATTCAGGAGGCTGAGATTGTAAGGATTGTTGTGGTTCAAAGCCGGCCCAGGTAGAAAAGTCTACAAGACTCCATCTCTAATTAACTAGCAAAATCCCCAACTGAAGTCTGATGACTGGAGATATGGCTCTGGTAGTAGAGTGCCAGACATAAGCAAAAAAGCCTAATGAAAACAACAAGGTCCTGAGTTCAAGTCCTGGTATCAGGAATAAAAACAAAAGATTCTAGTCCTGTCAAGCAAGTCTTCTAAATCTTTCCAGGCTGGAGAAATTACCAAGTTGTAGGTGAGTGGGCTTTTATTCTTACCATAGAGCAAGTAAGGTTTTATGGGAGGCTCCTCCCTAGCCTCTGAGATCAGAGGCTGAGTTTTGTATCTTTGTGGGAGATGAAGATCCTGTGTTGTATGCTCTAGGATCGACTCACTGGCCTTCTTGCCACAGTCAGGGACTGAAAGAAGTGGCCAGTTACCCGGGCCTGTCCAGGGCCCTGCCAGGTCTAGCTGACCTTTCTACTCAGAGGAGCTGTTGACTAGACCAGGTTGGCATTAAGGCTTTTGGCAAACATTTCAGAGAGGACCCAGGATAGAGTGAGCTATGTGGGTGGGCCATAGTGGACAAGACAAGCCGGTCTCAAGTGTGGTTGCAGAGGACAGGGTAACATTTCTAACCACTGGCCTTCTCTGCTCTAGGATGCCCTTGTCATGTGCTTCTGGAACGCCTGCTTCCTGCCTCCGGTGTGCGCCTAGGAGGTGGGGGTATGTACTGGTCCCCAGGATTGTGTGAAGGCTGTGCCCTGTGGGATAAGGTCCCCAAGTCTACTCTGAATGAGGATTGGGCCATAGAGAGTTCCAGATGAGTTGTGGGAGTCCGGCTGAATCTGCAGTTCTAGAGAACTTTGGCAAACTATCCACATTTCCACCTCAGAGGCACACAGACAACACTTGACAGTCTTCAGGGCAGTCAGACTAAGTGATCCAATGCCAGTCTGCCAGCTGTGTGGCCATGGTCTCAGCAGAGGGACCGCAGAGCAGCTCCCGCAAGGTGCCTGCCTTGCCCTGGATCTCAGACCACAAGGCACGTGGTTGCTTCAAAAGACCTTCTATGTTTAAAGACATCCAGATACTGAGCCTGGGGAAGGAAACGATTTGTCCATACCCAGATAAGCCAAGGCGCCTTTAGTAGATCTTGTACAGACTTCTAAGTTTGTGCATGTTAAAGGCAATGGGAACAGAGTACCCTGGCTTTTCTCTGCTTTGGAAGACTTCTGCATAGTCCGGAGCCACCAAGACTGGGGAAGCTAGCCAGCTTCTAATTGAAGTAGCCAGCGGCACATCCACAGCTGCGGAAGCAATTGACTTGCCATTGCTGTATTGGGGATTTGTGATTGCAGAAGGCCTGCTCTCCCCTTTGATGTATACACAGGTTGGAATCCCCAAGCAGCTATGGTCTCCTGGCCCAGCAGAGCTGCTGCGTCTAAAGATAGGGTCAGTAGTCTGTTAATCCTTAAGATACTTGCGAGAAATACAAATGCCACTTAGAAATTTCCTGGACCCTGGTTATTTACCAGACTGCAATCCCTCTGGGAAGTGTTTAATCCTGCAGCAAATACAGAAAGGCAAACCTTGGCTTTAAGAGAATCAGAGTTCATTGTGCAGGCGGCAGGTGCTCCGGAAAGGGCTGTGTTAGACAGAGCCAACACTCTGGGAAGAAATATCCTGGTTGCAGCTGCTTCAGGCACAGCCTTGGAACTTGTGGTTGCTCCAGAGGAGGAGGGAGCATAAGGCTGGGATTCCTCAGGCGCTTGGTGCATGTGCAGATGTGTCTGACCCCCCAAGGACATACTGTGGACATGAGGCCCAAGGGCCACAGGTGCACAGGCTCACACGGCACTTGGAGCCAGGCTGCATGGAAGGCCTTGCCACACAAGTGTGCTCTTGGCTCACAGACGGGGACCCCAGGTGGGCGCCTGTGGGCTCAGGGGTTCCCCTCCCCGTCTTCCTGAGAGATGCCCAGCACTGACTTGTGGGGGATGCCGCACTCTTGCAGAGACTTGGTGAGGTCTGTGAACCGTCTCCTGGGCACCTCTATCGTCTCGATGCTGCAGTGTTGATAGGTGGTTCTATTCTTCTGCTCGGCCACAGTAAGGACGGTCTGGAGGTCATCCGTGGGCCGGAAGTGACGCACGAACCTCTGGCCTGATGGCGATCGGACAGCAAGCAGCAGCCTGGGTTCTTGGTCTGAGGGTTCCTCCAGGGTTCCAGGCCTGGGGCTGCCCTGCCTCTTGGTGTGGATGACAAACTTCCTCTCTAGGGCAAGAGCTGGAACTCTAGAATCTTCTTTCTTTGTCTTCATGGTGCAGGCCTCCTCGTGATAAAGAGCCTGAATGCTGCTTAGTTGCAGGGAGCTAGCCTTCCTCCCCACTGTACCCAAAGCCTCCTCCTTCAGGCCTCTTCTGCTGATGGATGGGAGGACTGGGTACTTGTTGAGGGAAGAGGAGGCCCCCATGGGTACTTGCAGTAGCTCGGGGAACTCATCTGGGACTCCCTGCGTTGGAGATGTGGGTGTACAGGCTCCTGGTTTCTGACTGCTTGGTGACTCCGAGGAACTGGCTGGTGGTGGAGAGGAAGGTCCGCAGTGAGAGCCTGACTGTGTGCCCTGGGGTTTGTGCAGACTGGGCCGCTTGCGGCCTTTGGCAGACTTGGGCCTGATGACATGCATTTTCAGTGAGTTTGGCTTCCAGATGAAAGCAGATGAGCTCTCAGCTGCTGTGTTAAGAGGGATGCGTTCTGGTGGTGCTATGGTCACAGGGCCTTCTGTGGCCATTGCTTCTCAGGGCCCCTAAGGAAGCAAAAACAGAGGCCTTTGGTTAACTTTCCTGGGACACCAGGATCCACACAAGGCCCTTCCCTGCAAGTGCTCAGAGCAAGCTTGATGGGGTCTCTCTCTGGATTGCTGGCATTTGGAGGGAGCGATACCAGCTACCATTCATTCATTCATTCATTCATTCATTCCTCACACTTGGAATATATCAGTGAACCAAAGACCTTTCAGCTTAAATTATTAGAATGACAAACAACAGGTTTAACCCATAGTAACTAGGCAAGGGATTAAGGTAGGGGACTAATTCTTGCTCGTATGGGGAGGGGCCTTTAAGCTGGAGAGGATGGTGATGAAAGGGAATGTGTCCTGAGACAGTCTAGACCCAGGGTCAGCCAACATTCTCTGTATATATTTTCTGCTTTGGGAAACAGAGTCTTGCCTGCACCTGCTTAGCTCCATCATCACTGCACAAAGTCACTGTGGGCAGTGCCTTCAACAAATGTGGGGCTGTGTTCAAGCATGATATTATTCACAAAAAATGGGGCAGGCAAGATTGGGCCCCTGGGCTCTAGGCTGTCAAGCCTGGTCTCAAAGTGTCCAGGGGAGGGGAGCAGCTGGGTGAAATCCTGGGACAGGCAGAGCTTGCTGTGCTCAGGGAACTCGCAGGATCCTAGCGTTGGCAGCCCTATACCACCCATGGACGAAGACAGATGGAGATATAGTCAGTGGCAGCAATGGCCATCTTTGCAAAGAGAGAGAAAGTAACCATGTGAAGGCCTCTGCACCATGAGACAACTGGGCGACCACTCAATCTTAGCCAGGAATCCGGGCTCAGCTCTACGCCAGAGCAGGCAGAGCAGCAGGTCGCTTGTCCTGTCACAGCCCTTTAGATGGCCCGCCCTAGCATGTTATTCACTGGAGAAAAACACACTCTGAGACCCCATTTTCCTTCTGCCACAGGCCTTCCTCCTTCCTCCTCCCCTATTCACCCATAGCTTGTCTGTCCTTCATTTTCCTTCTATCTTTTGATTCACCCTTGCTAGGATAGGAGGCTCCGCACAAATTGCTTAATGCAATATTAGTCCCTAACTGGGCTAGGAGGAGAGGAGCCAGAAGGCCCTCCTGCCAGAGCTGACGGGGAAGGTGCTTAGATTCTAGAGCTGGGGTGGACAAGCCCTTCCTGGCAGAGCCAGAGAGTAACTATTTGGAGTTCTGTAGCCCATGTAAGTCTATCCTAACTCTTGTCTTTCAATGTAGCCATGGAGAATAAGTAAATGAATGGGTTGGTGACAACCAATCAAACTTCTTGTGGGACTCTGATATTTGAATTTCATGTCATTTTCATAGGTCACCATATACATGTCTTTGGACTTGTTGGTGTTTTAATGCATAAAAGCTATTCTTAGCCCATGAGACACAAGGTAACAAATCACCTAGTTTTTATCTGTGGGCCATAATTTGTTGAACCCTGCTATCCTAAGGAAACTCTGGGTACACGTAAATTCAGCAGCTCACGTGAGCCAGAAGATATGGTAGTTGCCTGGTAGTCACACTCCTGGCTGGTGACAGAGTCTGAAACAGAATCCATGTCTTATGACATCTAGTTTTGTATTCTTTTGTACTAGAAACAAGTCACTCCTGTCCTCTTGCAGTCCTGGGTTTGACCTCAGGGCTTCATGCTTGCGGGGCAAGCATTCTACCACTTGAGCCATGCCCCAGCCGATAAGCCTGTTCTTGAAGGGGCAGTTTTGGCTTTCTCCAGGCACATCACATCTTGTCTGTCTGCTGCCCACTACCTTGCCAACACCCTGAAGACCTGTGGATTAGCTCTCCCACTCCTGGTGCTCAGGAATGCTTAGTTGACCTGACAGAAGCAAAGCACTGAAGCCCGATGGGAACATTCAGTCTTGGGGGAATGGAACTACCACATCTTGTCACATGTTTCAACACCCTTCCCCACTCCCTCAGCACCAACACCTCCCACCTCCTCCTCCTGTCTCCCAGTATACCTTTCCTAAGATGCGGCTGACCTCCTGCTGGACTCCCTTGCCTTCCGCTGCAGGGCCTTCCGTGGTGATTAATGCTTTCTCTGCTCACAGGCTGGCCAGCTTACTCTCTTGCTTACTGAAGATTTTCTGGTGATTTCCTCCCAACCCACGGTCCCCAAGAAACAGCATGTGTGGGCACAAGGACAGAGGACCAGGAGTCACAAGACCTCAGGTTAGTCTATTTCAGGCTCTGACACCAGCCAGCCATACGACCATCCTACCTTTCTGATACACAACAATTCCTCATTGAGCAGATTAGCAACACGACCTTGAAGATATTATTTAAATGCTTGTGAACTTCAGCCCCCCAACCCAAAGCAATGCAGGTACAATTCTGAGGCCTTAGAGAAAAAGGAAAGAGGTTTTGTTTGGGGTTTGGTGTGACTGGGAACCTATTGCTAGAACATTCCCCAGGGTGCTGGTGGTGTGTCTCCTAGTCCCTGCTAACCTGGGTCTCAGGCCCAGAAACACCAGGATGTTGACTCCAGTCAGCTACCTCCTATGCAGTTACCTCAAAACTGTGGGAAAACTTCCTGAACTGCTCACTTCCCTTCCAAGGCCATGTCTTCACTCACCTCAAATCCACTTCCTCCAAGTTCCCCTGTTGACCAGTGTCATTCCACCCCTCAGGCTGTATGCTCTAATCTTGCCACTCTGCACTTTCCCAGTGTGGGGTAAATGGAGTCAGACTTCTCTCACTATGGCCTCTGGAGGGCTTTGGGCCTACACATCCCAAGGACTGGGAGTCAGCTGGCTCAGCAAATCTAGGTAACCTTGAGTCATGTATGCATGTGCCATCTTAGGTAGCCCAGTAGGTAGCCTTGAGACTGGCCTTGTGTGGCCATCCTTGGCCAGATGCCACATTTATCTAGAGAGGGTATAAACAGGTACCACACAAGGGCAGGTTAAAGCGTGGGATGACAGCGAGCTGCCCCTGAAGGACAGGGGTGGTGTCGATGATGGAATGCAGGCTGTGAATCTATGCTGGGGTGGACCAGTGTGCTGTGATGCTGGGGACTGTGAGGCTGTTGCTACTGCCAGTGATTACTGTGCAGACAGACAGCTTTGAATAAACATGGCGTGCATCCCCACTTTGCCTGGCATCCTGGTCTCTGGCTTTCCTGAATCAAAGGAGAACTTGAGAACACAACCCAACAACATAAGGGCATTTCCTCTTCTGCACCACCAAACCACAATGAACCCAAGCGCACAGTTCCTGCGTGTTCCCAACATCCTGTTGCATCCGAAGTTTGGGACAGTGATCCTCCATTTTGCATTTTATTTTATTTTTTAATCCAAGTATTCCTAGAGCTACCTTTTCTATTAGGGGCCTCACCATTCCATCAGATGTCTGTATGTATAGACAAAAGTTTATTAACAACATTGGCCTCTCTCATCCCATCCCAGATACTTTCTACTTTTCTTCTAGCATTTTAAAGGTCTCATGTTTGCTTCATTACACTCACAGCCTGAGTCTCTCTCCACTCTCATTTCCCACTTCTTGCCTATCGTTCCCACCCCAATCTGGCTGCCAGGATCTTAGGAGCCACTTCCTTAGCAAAGTTTTGACACCTGAAACACCTGCCCCTGTCCATGTTCATTTCATCTGCATTCTGTGAGGGCTGTGGTTTTTCTGAGTTCACTTCTCTAGTCTTTCACTTGCAGGAAGCAGCTCTGCCCTTTACGTCAGGGTGACAGGAGAAAGACAGAACTGTCCGATGATGAGCCAAAGATAAGATCCACCCCCAGCCCCTATCCTACCCACCCTCCCCCACAGGGGAATGGCTATTAATTTGCCCACAGCTTCCACATAATCATCACAGGTTTGGCTTCCAACACCCACACATGCCTCGGGAAGGTTTATCTGTCAGTAAGTTTGGTAACTTAGAAACCTCTTCCTTAACAACCCTGATGTGAGGGAAAGTCATGTGTTCTTACAGGCACTCTTGCTAGATTATTTTTAACAGTAAAACTTGAGTATGTGCATGCACTTGCTATACCTTTTGGTACTATATAATTAGCTATGTTCAGGGGGTGTCATAATCAAGACACTCTGGTCATAAGATAACATGACTGCAAGCTAGCTCAAGAGAAAAACTTCAATTATGACTAATTCCCAAAAGCCCACTCATGGCTATTTAGAGATTTAACACCTCCTTCAGGTAAAACCGTTATATCCAACCTGATTTCGTAACCCACTGCCTCCTCCTGAGGGTAGTGACCATCTGCTACATGGGGGAAACACTAGTTCTCCCAGCATCTAGTGCAAGGGCTGGGGAGGTGGGGAAAACTAGTATTTGGGTGAACCAAGCCAACTATGCCTTTCTTTTTTGGTGTATGTGGTATGAGGGCTTGAACTCAGGGCCTGGGTGTGGTTCCCATGTTTTTGTTTTTGTTTTTTTTCTCAAGACTGATGCTCCACTTTTGGAGCTAGTCAATTAGAGATAAGAGTTTCACAGACTTTCTTGCCAGGGCTGGCTTTGAACCATGATCTCAGCCTCTTGAGTGGCTAGGATTACAGGCCTGAGCTCCTGGCACTCAGCTTCCAACTGTGCCTTTTCTATTCTCACCTTGGGTCCCAAACGCTGCCTAATATCCTGGGTCCAGACATCCTTAAGCCTGTTCAGTGCATTTCACCACCTCTAGTTCTGGCAGACACCCAACCACCAAGTGATCTGACAAGATCTGGGCGTAGGCATCCATCAAGCTGCCAGCTGAATAGGCAAGTGGCCTGTTTACTTAAACATAAGGGCTGGCTGCAGTGGCCTGCTAGGAGGCAAGAATCAAACACTGGGCACTGTTGCCAGGAGGGCAGGTGCCCATTCCTTAAGATTACCACCTGATCCCCTGGAAGGAAGGAAAATCAGATAGGAGACATGCAAACAAGATCTCTGCATTCCAAGGGCACCCACAAAACCCATCTCAAGGTCAGCCCAGTCTATTTCACAACCCAAATTGAAACCAATAAAAGCAATAAAATATAACCACCCACATACCATCTGCTGGTTTATTGCAAGATGCATACATTTGAATTGGTCTTTTAAAACTGTTTATCAGTTAATGTCACCTCCTGCCACCTCCCCCCCCATCCCTACCAGCCTCCCCTCAAGGCAGGCCTGCAGGATGAAATGGCTGCAAGAACATGGTAGTTGGCTGGAGAATGAGAAAACCTTGGGAGGAAACTTGGGGAAGATTTCTGGGCAGAAAGGGGAGGGGGGAGGGGGAGGGAGGCAAAGATAACTCAATCCCTTCTGCTTTTCTTGGCAGCGCTACAAGCAAACAACCTAAAAGTGCAGAGGGGTTGGGGAGAGGGGGCAAGAAAGAACTTCTAGAAAAAGAAAATTGACTTGGGTCAAAGGGCACAGGTCTGGGGGAGGCTCCGGCCTGTGTGACAGAGACGTCTTTTTGTGTCCTTGGTCTGTGTCCAGAGGCGCTGTGTACCCCCTCCAGAAGGGCATGGCCCCAAAGCTTTCCTAGGCTCCTCAGCGGTGGCTGCAAGCCTGACTCTCCTCCTGCTCCAGTCTTCCAGGGATTTCCGCCCCCCTGGGGCCAGGTTTGAGGGGGTCCAACCCGGGTGGTTTGTGGGGTGTTTGGGGCTCTGCCCTCTCCTGGGGTCCCCGTGCAGGCGGGGGTGGGGGGTGGGGGGAGGCCTCGGGTCTGACAGCAGGCCTCACTCACCTCTGCACTCCATCCGCCTGCGCCCGGCTGCCTGCGTCCAGCTGGTAAACAGCCCCGTCGCCCGGCAACCGCCCGGGGTGGGGGGCCACGTGCTTCCGGCCTGACCGGAACCTGGCTGCCCAGTGCGGGGGCGGGAGGCCGTGGAGGAGCTGGGCCCGCACCCGCAGGGCGGAGGTGCTTCAGGTGTGCCAGGTGTGGCCCTGCCCTGGGGAGGTGGCCCCGACCCGGCCTGCACCTCCTCTTCCTCTCCTTGTCATCTCTAGGGGAAGGGGTGGGCCGGCCCCGGGTGTCACCCCATTCACTTCAAACACCCCTTGTTTTTCTGTGACGTTGGGTTAGGCCCCGGCCCTCTCCAATTTTAACATGGGGGTTAAGATTCATTCCCGTGGTCCCTAGAAGCAGAGGGGCTGTTTGGGGGGGGGTGTCTGAGCATGGGGGCCTGCTCATCACCCGCACCTCCTTCCTGAGCCTTCCAGAGCCTTCTGGTCACTGGCACCCAGACCTCCTCCGAGGGCCTGACCGCTTTGCTTTGGGGACGCTTTCCCCTCTCCCTCATCAGGGCGGCTCACAGTCTGTCACTTCAGCCCTTCTCTGGGTAAGAATTTCCCCCTGCTCCTGCTCTGCCTGCCCATGGGATGAGGCCAGGCCGCGTCCATCTGCCTTCACCCGCACTCTGGTGGAAGGGACAGTGTGCTTTCTGATTTCCAGTCAGACTGTCAGCTCTCCCCAGCAGGACCTCCGGTTCCTCTCCTGCATCCTAGCCGTTCTCCTCAGCGACTCCTTCAAACCTTGTTCTTACTATGAAACCTCTTGACTCCCCCTCCTTCCTCCCACTTGGATGATAGTCCTTGTCCTCAGCAGAGGAAAACCCTGAAGCCATCTTATGGAAACTTCTCCACCTGCCATGAGACCTACAAGCTTGACTATCTCCACACCCATCCATATCCCCAAGCTTTGTTCTTGCTTGTCTCTTTGGCCTGCATGATTCTTCCCTCCCCAACCTTTGCCCCTTCTTCCATTTGCCTAATTTCCACCTGTCCTTCATATCCCATCAATGGATGAAGCCTTCCTTCCAAGTTGGAATTAAGATGACTCCAAACCAGGTGTGGTGAGGATCAGCTATAATCCCAGCTACTCAGGAGGAAAAGGTAAGAGATGAATGCAGTCTGATGCTGAACTGAGCAAAAACACAAGACCTCATCTGAAAAAAAAAAAAAAGCTAAAAAATTCAAAAGGACTAGGAGTGTGATAGAGTGCTTGCCCAGCAAGGTAGTGGCCCAGAGTTCAATCCCCAGCACTGTCCAAAAAAAAAAAGATGGCTTCAAAAGGAGTCCCAGCTGAACTTACTTTCTTCCAAGCTCTGCTCTAGAATTTTGGAATATGCAGATAAATAATTTAATGACTATATTATTAGAATCCAATTTTAGTAGATATTCAAGAATCATAGATTCATTCATTATCTAGCATTATGGCCAAATATTTGCTCTCTGGTCTATTTTGTACTTGTAGGCACAAGATTTTGATAGGAACACAAGCCTAACCTTTCTTTTAAGACATTCAAAAGCTGGTTGAGAAGACACTTTGTATCTAGATAAAGAGATTATTTTCAGTACAATTTGAGCCAAAGGTGGAAGAGCAGGCACAGGCTAGATGTGAGGATCGGCAAAGACACTGGCACATTCTTTGAGGGCAGGGAACTGGGATCATTTCAAAGGCTGTGTACAGTCTGCTGATGTGGGCGAGGAAGTGCCTGCCCCATGGCCACCACGGACATCCAGGAGGATGGAGGAGATGGTGGCAGTTTTAGAAGCTGGTGATTTTTTTTGCAGTTAGGTGCTAGCAGCTTATTTCTTGTTAATGATTCTGTCAGAAATATCTAAGCAATGCTCTTCAGCGCCCACTCAGAAAAGATTAAAGTAGATTCTTCATCAGCTATTTTAACATCAACTAGCAATTATGCAATCCTTGGAGACTCAGATTGGCTTCTTACCTGCTGTATGCGTGTGTGCATGCACTTGGTCCGTCTGCCCCTGCTGACACCTGGTGCTGTAATGGTTGTGCCTGTGGCCTGTTTCATATTCAGCAGCACATACCTTTTGCTCTCCAGGGCCCTGTGGAAGAAAGGAAAGGAAACAAGCCAGTTCCGTGGTGAGACTCTACTGCCTTTATCTTCTGACTTTCTCTACAGAGAGTTTCTTCAAAGGCTGCCCTGGACTCAGCACACACACACACACGCACATGCACACACACACACACACAGATGGGGTTCTCAGGAAACATGGTAGAGGTCACTGCCCTCTTAAGTGTCCTCACCTTCCTTTTCAGCTATGTCCCATTCCACTCTCCAGGTCTCTTCTGGGATCAGCTGGTTTGTTCTCCAAATGGGCCTTCAGCCTTTTTATCTTGGGTCTTCGGTCTTGCCTGCTTCAGCTTGCTTCTCTCCTTGAAGTGAAACTGCCTGCTCCTCTCAAGCCTGTTTTAAAAGCTGCCTCTTCTGTGAAGGCCATTCTTGACCATCCTCTCCTCAATCTCCCATGCTATTTCTGGTCCCTTCTGGTCCAGTGGAATTTACCCAAGATGGTGCCATGCACCTTCACTAGATCAGCTCTCCTCCATGGAGGAGAGCTTTGCCTTAAACTCAGGGCTTTCTGCTGGTGAGCTGCAGAGCTCACATTCAGCTGGTCCCCAGATTCACTATACCCCCAGGATCCCACCTCTGCCACTCTGTTCTCAAGTGGCATTTAGAGCTACCTGATGCACTGGGGTTGTAGGTATGGATCCTAGAGTCAATGCTTGAGTATGAATTCTGGTTCCACTACTTGTCAGTTGAGGACTTTGGAGTTTTTAAGATTGGATTGTGGTGAGGGTGAAAATAAGTTTTGCAGTGCCTGGCAGGTGGAGGTTCTTGGTGAGGGTTGATAATCTTTTTCTTGTTTCCATCTTACCATAGGGCTCTCCCTCAGTAGGTTACGAGCTCCTTGGGGGCAGGAATTTATAGATCGCAGAGTCCTCTGCTCTGCTTACACAATGCCTGCTTTCCTGTAAGTGCTCAGTAGATGATAATTAAATTAATAACGATGTTGGTGCTGATTCCAACAACCAGGTCTTCTACCAAGAGAGTCACAAGCTCCCAGGTGGTATCCTTCAGGATACCAACTAGAAGGCTTAATGAGCCCCCCTCCCACCCTGAGGGCTGGCCAGAGATGGAAGCTCCAGTGTCTTAGCAGCTTGGCCCCAAAGAACCCTTGACCCCATCTTGAACTGGTGGCTTCTAGATTTCAGAGTCTCTACCCAGGGTCTTGCTATGCTGTTCCTTTAGACCTGTGGATGGAGATCACAGATAATGTTTAAGCAAAGTCACAAGGCCTAGAGTTGCTCAGTTAGTTGTGATTCCTTGTGCATTACTTTCTAAGCAGACCTACTGAAGGACGTTTCTAGATAATGAAACATAATCCTTGAAGTACTGCAGAGTTGTGTTATTTCCCCCCCCACATCACTGGAAAACATCCAAAAAATGTGTTGCCTACTCTCCAGACTTGTGGAGTGGAACTATCAGACACTGTCAGTGACCTTGGCTACTGTTAGGAGAGCGTTCACCTCCAGAACTTGAAGAATGTACCAGCCTCAGGGAGTGGAGGGGAAGGTCATTGTCTCCATCTTAGATAAGGAAGTTTAACTGAGGAGCTTAAATCCTTCTGATGGGAAATGGTGGAACAGCTCTGACTCTTTTTTGACACAGAGCCAAAGTTAGTGGAGGAGACCATTGCTATCTCTTGCACAATGCAAACATTCTAGCAACTCACTGTCACTAATGGTACTCTAGGTACAATATAGTTGGTGTGGGCCCAGCCATCTGCCCCTACACTCAGAGCCCCAGGATCCTACCCTTTGATGGTTATTGTTTGGATCATTTCCCCCTGCCCTTCCTATTAAGAAAAGCCACTCTTGAATTCCAGTCCTTTTCAACTGCTGGGTCTCAGAGAAAGAGGCTGAGCTGTTCATTAGAATTGTATGTGAAAGAAGATGATAGTGATAATGTGCAGATTTGCTTGGTTTGTTTTGCCTTCTCATTTGAGTTTGGGTTACACAGCCTTCTTGTCTTCCAAGTAGAAAAAATGCTGAGGGATGAAGACTAGCCTTGGGGTTAACCAGGGCCCTGCTGATTTACAATGAAAATTGCAAATTTACCTAATCTCTGCCCTCCTTGATAATACTGAGATTGATAACACCTGCCTCCGTGTGAAGTTTTCATTGTTTCATTGTCTTTGGAAGCACTGGGGATTGAACTCAGACCTCATGCTGGCTAGGCTGGTACTCTACCACTTGAGCTACACTTTTTGTTCTCATGGTGAGTTCCATATGGGTACTCAATGGGTTATAGTCACTGTTATTTCTATGAGCTGAAGAATAAGATTCTGATCATTCATTTATTCATTCATTCATTCCTCAAGTATTCATGGCCCACATACCATGAGGATAACAATGTGAGGACTTAGTGAGTAGTATATGTTCAAAAACTGTGCAAAGAATTAAATGAATGTAATGTATAGGATGCCTGTAATTCTCTTTTAGTGTCTAGTTCTACCAGTCATGGCTCTAAGCAGGCCCTGGGACAAGATGGACTTTGCTCCTCAGGATGCTGGCAAACAGGCTCTTTCCATCCTCTTTTCCTGGGAGGGAGGGGAGCTGACCACAGCTGTCTGAATGATGCATTGATAGGCCGAGGGAAGCCCCTAAGGCTCTGCTGCCTCAGAAGTTGGTGTCGAGTCTCTGGCCCTGTGCTCTAGGTGTTGATTCAGCACAGACCTGAGAGCCCCAAACCACAAGTCAAGTGGAGAGAACCATGTCCCTGTGGCCTAAGTGGCTTCCCATGAAGGTCAATGTCTGTGAAAACATCCTAAGACCTTGGAAATGCCAGATGACCCGGAGAGGGGAGGAGGCCTGGACTTGGAGTTAGGAACCAGAGACTGAGTAGTCATGTGGATCTTTTCCCAGTCACTTCTCTGAGTCTTGGTTTTCCTCCTCTGTCAAATGGAGAAGTGACAGTGGTCACTTGGTAGGGGTGCAGTGAGCAGGGGATGGGTGGAATCAGAATGTACTGGACTCAAAACCTTTCCATGGCCTTCCCTGGGGGGGTTGCCGCTCCTGCCTGTGATTTCAGAGGCCTTTCTTTGCACCACACCACAACAGGGTTCCCTGGCCCATGGGAGCTGGCCTGGGCTCCCTAGAAACAACTCTGAGACAGCACCATGCTAGGAGGTTCCCAGGGTGTGCAGCCATGGAATAGACAGGCAAGACTGGGGAGCAGAAGAAGCTGGTGTTTGGAGGATCTGGCACACACAGGGTCAAGTGGCTATGCAGGGAGACACTGACACAGAGGTGACTGCTGGGGTCTCAGCTGATCCTCCAGGGAGCCGTGGGGCCACCATACCTTTCAGAGCTGTCCTGCAAGAGGCCCAAGGCGGACCCTTAAAACCATTGCTGCACCAGGCACCAGCAGCTTGCACCTATAATTCTTGCTATTCAGGAGGCTGAGATCTGAGGATCACTGTTTGAAGCCGGCCTGGGCAAGACAGTCTGTGAGATTCTTATCTCCAATTAACCACCAAAAAGCTGGAAGTGGAACTGTGGCTCAAGTGGTAGAGCACCAGCCTTGAGTGACAAAGCTAAGGGACAGTGGCCCTGGTCATGAGTTCAAGCTCCTAGCATTGGCACAAAAAAGAAAGAAAGAAAAGAAAAGAAATTGCTGCCGCAAGCAGCCTGTGGTTAGCTCTTGGAGCAGAGGACTGCTGACTAGTGCTGAGGCGGTTGGACGCTCCCTTCCCCAGAACGCAATTGCTGTACTTTTAGAGCTGGTAGGCAAAGCAAAGTTAGAATTTTGCCCTTGCAGGGCTTTTGGTGGATCTTTGCTCTACATTTAACCTATCTGGTGTGTGTAGCCAGCTGGGCTAGACTCTGCTCATTAGCAAAGCACCCAGTAAGTGTTTTAACGAAAGTCTGATTTTGTTACCAGTCTTGGGCTAAGCCCCTTTCTCTGTCTCTTTAAAGTGTCGACACCTGCTTGTTTAAAACATGCCTTTCTTTGTGCACCAAACCCAGCACGACTGTTTCCCACCCCCCCCTCCCCGTACCCATGGTAACAGAACTTAATTTAAAAAAAAAGTCCAGGGCAGCAGTTGAAAGCAAGCTGTGGACAGAGTATGTGGCAGCTCCATGGCAGAGACGGAGTCCCACAGTGTCTGTCTGTGGCAGGGGTGCCTGCTGGGGGCGCTATTTCCTCAGCTGAACATAATGAAAAGGCCATGTTTACCTATCATGGAAGCTGATGGTGCAAACCAGTTTTATTTTCACTATTCCACCCGGTCCCCTCGGCAGCTGTGAGATGGTGAGGATTTGTTCACCCTCTCTGAACCTCTGCTGCCTGATCTCTGAAGTGATCATGAAAGTTGTGAGGATTGCATAATGTAATGCCTGCAATGACTGGGGAGTTTCTTTGTGAAGGTTTAACATGATTGATAAGAGATTTTTAGTCTCAACTTTCCAGAAGTGGAAACGAAGCATGAGAGGGTAAGTTTACGGCTCAGATTCCAGAGGTTGAAGAAAGAAGATGGAACTCGTCTTTCCTGAGCCCATTTCCATAGTGAACCATATCTGTGCTGTTTAAACCTGGGAGAACAGGGCCTACTGACTCCTCCAAAGGGGAAAAAAGTTGGAGAGTTAGTGTGTTGCCACGGAAAGAAAGAAAGAAAAATTACCACAATTTTTGCTTGCGTTTCTTGGGCTTCTGCTGGGACTTGAACTCAAGGCATACTCATTTGGCTTCTTTTTTCCTTCAAAGTTGGAGCTCTACCACTTGAGCCACAGCTCCACTTGTGGTTTTCTTTTTCCTGTTTTTCTCTGGTTAATTGGACTTCTCTTCCTGGGATGGCTTTGAACAGTGATCCTCAGATCTCAGCCTCCTGAGTAGGTAGGATTGCAGGCATTGAGTCACCAGAGCCTGGCTAACACTTGCGGTTTTCATGCCCTTCTTCTGTTTTATATTTGAGTCTAACACCAGGAAGAGTACCACATTCAGAGATAATTAGGTCTGAAAAAAGATCTAGCTGAGCCTTCTAGAAGCTGAAGGCTTTCAAAGCCTGTGCTGAAACTAGGGTTTGCACCCAGATGACCTCATCCAATTTTGGCCATTTCCTCCCCAAATAGGAATTCAGCTGGCAGCTGAAGCAGGACCCTGACACCCTGCACCCCTGGTCTCCTCAGGAATGAAGGTCATCGCCATCCTCATTGTCTGCGTCTCCTGCTGTAAGTACGAAGCCAGCTGTGCCACAACACGGTGCTCCTGTCTGCAGCATTGCTGTGCCGCTGGGCAAAGGAAGGGCACAAAGCTCAGAAGAGAACCAGGCTCCTGCAAACGTTCCGCTTCTGTCTCTGTTGTCTGTCCCTGTGCTGGAACCTCCTACAACTATGGGAAATCCATGCTCCCTGACCATGGAGAGGACATTGGGCTGTGGTTTCCCCACTCCCCAGAAACTTGTCCTTGGAATGGTGGTTGCCTTGAGCAAAGTATCTCAAGGACAACACTCAGATCCTCAGTTCAAGCCCTAGGACTGGCTCCTTAAAAAAATAAAGTCATATGGATTCCAGCCCTATACTGCAGATACATTTCTAGCTAATTAGATTAATTCTTATCAGAAAGACAGTCTTAGGATGGCTTGTGGAGTAAATGGTCATTCTAAAGTCCTGGCTGCTGGGAGATGGTCACAGGCTGCCAGGTGGACGGGGGCCTCTTGGGAGACCGTTGGGGTCTGTTGGGAAACTAAGAGACATTTGTTGAATTAGCTGTGAAACTATTTATTTAAATCAATTTTTCAGCTGACTTTTTATCCTTAAGTCAAAAGTGTCAAAACCAGGTTTCCCTCTTCCCCTCATGGTGAGATTTACGGTTCTCAGAGTCACTGTGGGGAGGAGGACCTCCTGTGTGTGTGTGTGTAGAACTGGTGCAGAGTCTCATGGGGCAACTGAGCACCCTGGGGCTCACACTCTGCCCATCCCCAGCACTGCTTCATCAACATGGTGTCTCACGTGGCAGTGAGACAGGAAGACGCCTGAGAAAACACTCTCCTCTCCTCCTTGCAAAACTAGGTTTATCTTCTTCAAGTTCATGTTTTGGAGTTTGCTTATTTTGTTAGGGCTTGGGCTTGAACTCAGGCCTGGGTGCTAGCTCTTAGCTTTACCCTCAAGGCTGGCACTCTACCATTTCAGCCACAGCTCCACTTCTGGCTTTTTGGTGATTCAGTGGAGACATTTCGACTCTTCTGACAACACTGGCTTTGAACTGCAGTCCTCAGATCTCAGCCTCCTGAGTGCTAGGATTACATGAATGAACAGCCAGCACCCAGTTCTAAGTTTATGTGTTCACTGTTGTTATTACAAAACTCATATATACCTGTAATTTAAAAGTCAAATGAGTGTACCCCATCCATCCCACAGCCTGATACATTTCTTCTAGAGCTGTACACTTAGGTATTCAAACACTGGGATAAAAAAGTAATGCAGGCTTATTATTTAAAAAAGAAAACAAACTGCCTAGCGGTGTACAAAATAAACATTGTCTGTTTCTTTGCTAGCCTGCCTCCTCACTCCCATCACCTAGAGATACTGCTATTAAGAGAAGCATATTTTCAAGACACATTTTTATTTTCCTCCTTTCAGTAGACAGGTGGGTGGTTTGCAGAGTTTGATATTGCAGATAATGCTGTGGTAAAAAAAAATCCGCATTTGTCATTGTGGGCCCACTTTCATAACCATTTTTTAGAAGTAAAAGTTTCTCGCTCGGAGTTGGGTGTTGGAGGCTTATGCTTGTAATCCTAGGAGGTTGAGATCTGAGGATCAAGGTTCCAAGCCAGTTGGGCCAGGAAAGTCTGTGAGACTCTTATCTCTAATCAACCACCAAAAAGCCTAAGTGAAGCTGTGGCTCAAGTGGTAGAGTGTTAAATTTGAGCACTAAAGCTGAGGGACAGTGCCCAGGCCCAGAGTTCAAGCCCCAGGACCTATGTGTGCATGCACACACGCACATATATATGCACACCTATACACACACACACACACACACACACACACAGTGTTTGTAGCTCTGAGTGCATTTGTTAGGGCTTTCAGCTTTCAGTTTTTCTAGTTACCACTGCTCCCCATGTGGTGGCCAGGGGTGGTAGTTTTTAACTACTCAGGGGAAAACCCTATTTGCCATTAGAGCATTCATCAGGGGAACTGGGTGCCCATCCTAGGTTGCCAGGGTTGAGTCTGGTCCTAGTTTCCTTCCCATCAAAGAGGCTGAGGACCTGGCTGGGTCATGTGCTTTGTCTGAGGGCCCCGGGAGAGGCCCGCAGACCCTTCTGGTGCAGGCTGTGAAGGCCACCCTGTGCTCATGCTGGCTTCCTTGTTCCTGCTTCCTCCTTGGCAGGGCCCGCCCCCTCCCTCGGCAGCTTCTGGCAGTTCCAGAGGATGGTCAAGCACATCACGGGCCGCAGCGCCTTCTTCTCTTATTATGGATATGGCTGCTACTGTGGACTTGGGGGCAAAGGGATTCCCGTGGACGACACTGACAGGTGCGTGCGAGCGTACAGGGTCCCACGGATTCACATGGAGGCTGGAGGATGAGTTAGGATGCTTGAAGTGCTAGTGACAGAAACGGACTCGAACTTCTGCCTGGGAGGTACAGGCTAGGCATCGAGGATGCAGGCCAGCTTCTTGATGGTGTGACTCGGGAAGCTGCCGGGGACCTGGCACAGCCGTGGGCGCCAGCGTGCTTTATGCTCTGCTGCGCTGTCTGAAATCCTTTTTTTTTCTTAGGCTTGGGCACTGAACTCTGGGCCTGGGCACTGTCCCTGAGCATTTTTGCTCAAGGCTAACACTCTCCCAGCCACAGAAGCTCCACTTCTGGCTTTTCTGATGCTAACTTAGAGATAAGGGTCTTACAGATTTTCCTGCCTGAGCTAGCTTTGAACCACGATCCTCACATCTCAGCCTTTTGAGTAGCTAGATGACAGGCGTGAGTTACCAGCACCCAGCTCCAACTTATTATTTTTAATATTAAAGTTGACTCTCTGAATCCATGTCCATGTCCATGTCCTCAAGTCTACCAGACGTTGATATTAAATATTCAAAAATAAAATGACACCTGGATTGGACATGTTCAAGAGTTCCCTGTCATTTCCTAAATGACACCATATGATGATAACTTACGTGGAATTAAGTATTATAAATCTAGAGACTGTGCAAGGCATCATGGGAGGGTGTGTCCTGCCACTTTGAGGGGCTTGGGTATTGCAGGGCTTTGGCATCCTTGGGGGTCCTGGATCCCATCCCCCTTTGATATGGAGGGACAGCCACTTCTGTATTCCCCACCCCCCCTTACCTCCCCCTGGGAGAGGAGGCAGGCAAGCCCTTCCCTGTTGCTACCCATGGTCCCAACAAATCTCATCTCTCACGGCCCCCAGGTGCTGCCGGGCACATGACTGCTGCTACCAGAAGCTGAAGGCGCTGGGCTGCCAGCCGGTGCTGAACACCTACCAGTTCTACATCGCCAACGGGACCGTGGCATGTGAGTAGCTGGGCGGTGCCTGAACCGCCGCCGCCTCATTGTTGCCGTGATCTTTTGGGAAACAAGGTGTTTTTCACCCCAAGTGTTTTGAGGTAGAAAGCAGGGGGGAGGGGGGCGGCTGGAGGGCAGTTGTGAAAAACCAGAGCTCTGTGGAGACCCCTTGCATGGTCTTAGGGTCTCTTGTGCCCACGACTGAATCTCAGCACCCTGTGGGAGTGCAGAGCTTGCTCAATAAAAAGTGGTCAGCTGGCAGTTAGTTACACGCCTGCAGCTTCCCTTGGCAGCTGTTGCTGGAGAGCGCTCTTCCTTCTTTCCGTCCTGTGTTATCAAAGCAGTCAGCCATCTTTCAGCTGAACAAATATTTGTGAAGGGTGACTATAGGCAATGCCCTGTGGTTGGTCAGGCGGGGGACACTAGGAAGGGCATGGAAGGGTAAAGGGAAGATGCCAGCGTGGGCAAGTACACAGCATCTACCTTCATGGAGGGCTCCAGGGCTCCTGAGCAGGCTGTGGGGCCAGGTGGTGGGCACAGGGAGGGCAAGTCTGCTCTGAAGAGGGAACACTGAAGGCTCTGGACGTTGGCCTCTGGCGAGCGCCTCCATGCCAGGCTGGCGGGGGATCTGTGTCCCTTAGAATCTGCACCTGTCCCCTCCCCCCGCTCCCGCCTGGCCTTGTGGAGTCACAGGAGCCACTGTCCTCACAGGGATGTGACCCACAGCTGTGTCCCTTCCCCTCCTTCCCTCCTCACCCAGGGCTCGGGGCTTAGACACAGTGCCCAGCAATTCACCACCCAGGAGCCACAGAGTCAGCACTGGGAGATCTTCCTGGAGCCATCTTCCAAGACCACACCACGCTGGCATGTGTCCCTCCCGCACAAACTCAGGGGGACTTCCTGAGTTGGAGCTCTTTGCCCTGGCCCAAAGCCACACATCACTCCATGTGACACTCGAAGCCCCCATCTGAGGCAGGGAGGCCTGGGGCAGGGCTGCAGGAGGCCACCTGGCATATCATTAGCGTCACATAGTACAATACTTCAGTATAGTACAGGCCAGGGACAGGATCTAGCTGCACAGAGGACTGAGATGGAGTGGTGGGGTCCTTAGCGGTTGGTTAGTGTATATTGGGGTGTTTTGGGGGGTGCATGGCTCATGGTCTTTCTTTCTTTCTTCCTTTTGGTTGGAGCTTGAACTCTGGGCCTGGGCGCTGTTCCTGAACTCTTCAGCTCAAGGCTAGCGCTCTACCACTTGAGCCACAGTGCCACTTCTGGTTTTCTGGTGGTTCATTGGAGATAAAGAGTCTCATAGACTTTCCTGCCTAGGCTGGCTTTGAACTGCAATCCTCAGATCTCAGCCTCCTGAGTAGCTGACAGGCGTGAGCCACCAGTGCCCTATGTGACTTTGTGCAGAGTCCCAAGAGGTAGGGAGAGTTCAGGAAAGAGATATGGGGCAGAGGCTGGAGCCCAGCAGTGACCCTTGTCCCTGTGATGTGTGTGCTGGACCATAGTGGGAGTAAAGGCAGGGGCTGGGAGCCGACCCGGGAGCCTGAGGCCTGGGCTATGCCCCCCTCCTGGGCCACCCTGAGCCTCAGCCTGGGCTCTGACAGGCCAGAGCCTTGCTCAGGGCTCTGGGGGACTGTCCTCACCCTCTTGGCACCCCAGGTTCTAATATAGGGACCTCTGCTCTCTTGCCTAGGGTTGAGTGAAGGCCCACTGGGGGCCGGTCCAGTGCCAGCACCTGGGCTGGGCACGGAGCGAGACAAGCTCAGCTCCTACTCTTTTGGCATAGGCGATCTTACGGACGCCCCAGAGCAGAAACTGCTCTCCCACACCATCCTCCTCCTCTTTGCCATGGCGAGACTGAGCCCACGGAGGGCGGGGAAGGGATGGGTCTAAGGCACAGGCAAGGTTAAGATGCCTATACTGAAGTCTCCAGTGCGCCACAGCACCTGCCTAGCCCGAGTTGTGTGGGCCTCTGTTTTCTCATCTAAGAAACACAGCACCGCGTGGTCAGCTTCTGAGGCGGTTACCCACCCCCCCCCATACCCATTCTCAAGAAGATGCCAAGGCTCAGAGAGCTCGAGGGAGATGGCCACAGTCCCACAGCCAGGAAGAGGAGAGTGGGGATTCAGACCCCCTGGTCTGGAGGAAGGTGGTGGGCTGGCTCTCACTCTAACTCAAGTCTCATGGTCTACCACAGGCTGGTGAGGTGCTCAGCGCTAGCCACGGGAGGGCAGGGAGAGATGGAGTTGGGCCTCTTGGTGCCCCACATCTTCCCATGCCTGCCAAGAGGCCTCAGAGTTGGCCGAGCTGTCTCTGACCTCAGTTTCCTCCTTGCCCAACCAGGCCTCAGTCTCCCTATCTGTAAAGGAGACCGAATCACCCACATCTCACAAGGTGGCTGGGTGACAGAAGTGACCCACAGGTGGGACTGGCTGCCAGCAGGTGCTTGCTGGCTTCCTGGCTCTCCCCAGACTTCCTGTTCCCCTTTCCATGGTGGGAGAGGACTAGGGTGTCTTGATCACCATTTGGAGGTCTCATTGAGTCACCCCAGGGGTGAGGGTCACAGACGTTATTTACTGTCATGGAATGAAACCTCATCCTCCACACCCAGTTCAAAGAGTAGCCCCTGCGAGGGCAGATGCCTCCCCCTGCCACCTCCTCCCTTCTCCTAGCCTCCAGCGTTCTGGAAGCTCTGAAACCTAGCACCCAGGCTGGCCACACCTGGGCCTGGGCCCCAGTTGCCTAGCAACCAGTGGCTCTTCAGGAGGGAGGGGTAAGTGAGCAGGAGAGAAAAGAAGCAACTTGATCTGTCCACAGTTCTTAATGCCACCAACAGATCAGCCGAGCAGAGGAAGGTCTGTCACCAACAAGCCCAGGGTGCGGCCAGTTTGCCAGGAAGGGACAGCTGCCCTCCAGTGTGGAGGACATCCCTCCATTGAGTGGGTTATGCAAGTACTTGGCACCCCTCTGCCCACTCGTACACACAGCCTGGAATCTGCTCCAGCCACCTAGACCACTAAGCATCATTGCCTAGGGTTGGGACTGGGGTGGGGGACACCACTGCAAGTTTAGTCTGCAGGGACCTTTCCTGTTACTGGGAAAGCCGCCTCGTCACAGCTTTCTTTCTCCGTGCTCCTGGCTCCCTGCAATGATCTTGCCTCCTCTTTGCGTCTTTAGGCACAGACTACAGTGTGTTCTGAGAGCAGGCAGCAAGCCTGCCTTGTCTGGGGAACATCAGTCTCATTCTAGACACGTGCCAGAGGCCTGCCAGGGCGGGAGAGCAGGGGATGGTGTCAGTCACAGGCAGGAACTGAGGCTGCACCTTGTGTATTGTGGAGGTAGAGTTCATGGAGGAGAAAGCGCATTCTAAAGCAGTCACCAGATCCTTTCTTCACGCCTCGGTTTCCCCTTCATCACGTTAGATGCAGGAACTGGATTTAGGCATGTTCTCTTGGTCTAGGGCCATCTTTTCTCCCAGGTCATGACAAACCTGTCCTAGCATGGCTGAGGGAGGCTGCCCAAGAGATAGTACAGAGAAAAGACTGCTGCCAGAGACTTGCTCCAGAGGACCACACCTGAGAAAGGATAGGAAGAGCCAGGCGTGGTGGCCCACACCTGCAGGCTTGTGGCAGCAGCAGCTCCGGGAGGGACCCCAGGGTGCGCTGTCCCTGGGGACAGTGCATGAGGAGAGTCCCTGGGGAGCTGGGGCCCGATGGCAAGCGGGATGACATAGGGTGGGCAGGTGCCAGGGAGAGCGGGAATGGTGTGGACAGCACATCACCGGGGCCCAGCCAGCCCCATCTCCACACAGAAGCGGGATGAGAACTAGGCAGGGCTGTGGACTTCAGAGAGGGAGGAGGACAGCAGGCAGCCTGCAGCTGGAGCTTGTCCAGGGGACGCACATGAAGCTCAGGACACATGGGGACACGTGGCAGTCATCATGGGAGGCGTCTGTGGAGCATTCCAGCAGCCACAGCCACCTCACCATCTGTCCTAGGAGGGAGTTCTACTGTTGGTCATGGGGCCGGAGCAGCGGCACAGAATTTGAACTCACAGCCTTGCAGTTGCTCAGCTTGTTTGCTTGGCGGGTGCTCTACCACTTTCATCATGCCTTCAGCCCAGCTTTTGGCTAGTTCATTGGAGATAGAGTCTCTTGGGCTTTTCTAACTAGGGCTGGCTTTGACCAAGATTTTCCAGATCTCAGCCTTTTGAGCAGCTAAGATTACCGACAGAAGCCATGGTGCCCACTGACCCCTTTCCACTCTTAACCCCACAAAGATGCCTGGGGTGGGTTTATGTAAAAGAAAGAAAAGAAGGAGGAGGAAGCGGTGCCTCAGGCAGACCCTCCGTGCGGGCCTGTACACCTGGGCGCACCCTGGGCGCAGGAGCTCTGACTGCTCCCACACCTCTTGGCTGCTCAGACAAAGGGCAGTCAGCTTTATCTGAGTGCACAGCAGCTATTTCTGAGCAGCTTCAGGGCACCAGCATTTCAGGGTGCCAGAGGTGCAGTGATGATCCAGAGCCCCAGCCTCAGGGACCTCAGAGTGGGAGCAGATTGTAGAAAGTATGTTGATGAAATCCACAGTGACAAAAAGGGGAAGGGAGCTGGGAGAGAGCTCCAGACCAGGCAGCTGGCCTCTTTAAAGGACTGAGTTTGATCAAACTCAAAGGGGATGATAGGCCCTTCCGTTGAATCTGTTCTGAGGATAAGAGTTCTAGACCAAGAGGATATAGCACACACAAAGGCCCTGAGACACAACAGAGCCAGACACATGACTGCAAAGAGGCAGGTGTACCTTGGAGCACAGTGAGGGAGGAGGATGGTTTTGGGGGAGGGGGAAGGCATGGGAGTACATGGTTGCCACTACAAAGGTCTTGCCTGAAAAACTGGAAACCAGGAGGGTTGCTCAGCAGTAGCATGAACCTAACTCACGGGACCCTTTAAAAACACTTCCTCCTACGAAGGAGAGAGAACTGCTGTTAACAGGAATCTGGGTAGCAGCCTGGACGATGGAAAGAAGGAGGCAGAGTGTGAAATGGCACACACGTGGGGGCGTGTGTGGGACTCGCGGTGGGCCGGATACGGGAACTGGACGGAGGGCAGGTTGGGCTGGGAGCAGTGGTAGAAGACATGATTGGCAGGTGGAGGGGGCGCTGGCTTTCCTGGGCTGCCCTTGGGAATGCGTCCTGGTGGAGGTGGCTGGGGTTGGCAACCCACATGTGGGCACGGGAGCTGAGCCCTGGGGACATGGGTCCTACCTGTCCCCGTGGCCCACAGGTGGCGGGGGACCATCATTGGGGACCTCCCCTGGGCAAGGCACCCTCCTGGCCTCTTGTGTTTCCTTCTAGGCCCCTCACAGCATTGTGGGACCCCGGATGTGCTGCGGGAAGGGCTGCAGATGAAGGGCAAGGAGTCCCAGCTTCTCCCTTTCCTGTCCCAGCCCACCCTCTGCCGGGAGCTGGGGTGGAGGGGCCGGGGTGACGCTGTGTGTCTCTGCAGGTAGATGCTCCCTGGGTGTTGGAGCCAGCTGCTTCTGCGGGCTGCAGGCCTGTGAGTGCGACAAGCAATCCGTGTACTGCTTCAAAGAGAGCCTGCCCACCTACGAGAGAAACTTCAAGCAGTTCTACTCCGGCCACCCCCAGTGCAGAAAGCGCAAGCGGGAGTGCTAGCGCCACCCCCTGTCCCTGAGCGTCGCCCTCCCTCACATGGCCGCCAGCCCTGGGGAGGTGAGAAGTGAGGAGACAGACTCCTTGCCCCACGGTGGGTGGAGATGACCAGGACACAAGGAAGATCTGGGAGGAGAGAGGCCCTGGATCTACCCCCATCTCCCCTCCAGCTCACCCCCACTCCGCTCCCAATCAGGGTACAGGGTCGGCCAAGAATTCAGATTCATAACCCAGATCTGGCGGAGAGCGAGCGGAGAGGTGGGCAGAAAGGTCCCCAGGCATCACACCCGAGTGCGGTGTGGGCCGCAGGTCCCCAGGCAGGGGAACCGTGCTGTGCTGGCATCCCAGGAGTCGGGGTACCACGAGGACCCGAACTCCCACCCCTGCCTGGCCAGGGTTGGGAAGATGTCAAGAAACCAGGGGTGGTGGGGAGGGGGACATGGCAAATCAGCGGGGTCCCAGGCTCCACCCAGATGTAGGAACCTCTTATTCCACCAGATGTCCATTTTAATAAACGTGGACGTGTGCACCCCGGGTGGGGGGGGGAGGGGGTGGACCCTGGGCATGACAGCGCCTGACCGGAACGGGAGGTGGCCAACATGGTCTCACACTGGCCTTTCCCACCGTGATGCTCAGCCTGCTCACCCAACAGCGGGGTCTCCCTGAGCCGCACTGGCCCGGTGACTCGGTGCTCACTAGGAGGCAGGCAGAGGGAGGATCTGCTGGCTGTACTTGGCCTTGGCCTCTGTGGTCCAGAGCACGTCCCTCTCCACCTGCCTTTTCTGCTCAGTGTCCCAGAGGACACCCCCTTTCCCTCCCCTCCTCCCCCTGCAAGTCTCCAGAACTGTGAGCTGCATTAAAGTTGTCGTGTTCTTCTGGTGTGGCTCGTGATTGACTACTGAGCTCCATTCCCTGAGATTCCTGGGTTCTCAGCAGCAGGCCGGACGTGGAGGGCATGGACACCCTGTGACGTGGCCCTTCCCTGGTTAGGCACAGGAGGCGAGGGCCCAGCTCACAGGACAGTGGGAGACACAGAGAGCTGTCATTGTGCAGTAGCTTGCCAAACACACGCTGATTAGGCACCTGCTCTGTGCGGGGCAGGGATGTTCAGAAAACACACCTAAGGGGCCAGGCATGGTGTCGTGCCCCTGGGGTTTGTGGCATGTGGCCATGTGGGTGTGGGTGTGGCTGTGGGCCCTGCAGGGGGCAGGCAGCTGGTGAGGAGTGGGTGGCTGGGTCACTGGATGCATGGGTGCTGGCTCCAGCGGCAGGCCAGGCGTTACTGAAATGGCTTAAGAGGCATGGCCCAGGCCCCCAAAGCCTGCATGGGGGAGTGTGGGCATCTGCAGCCAGTGCCTGCAGCTGGAGCAGACAGGCTCCACCCACCAAGCACTTGCCTGTAGGCAGGTGCAGTTAACACCTCCAAGCCCACTGAGGGGCCTTGCTGGGGCCGCACGGCAGAGCCTGCCTGTCTTGCCCCTAGGGCCCCAGTTATAGAGTCTGGTTGAGAAGAAGCCAGATCTAGAGCCACTTGGGAGAGAGGAGAGAGATCTTAGAAGCTCCTCCAAGGGTTCAGTACCAACCTGGAGAGAGTCTGTCTTCTGGCGCTGGTACCAGGGAAGATGGGGAGGAAGCTGAGTTTGGGATGAGATGGATGGAAGCCACTAGACATGGTCTGGGCATGGTGGAGGCAGTTGGAGTAAGGAGGGCCTCGAGCTCATATCCCTCTGGGCCTCAGTTTCCCCATTGTGATGAACAACTGATGTTTGTGTCCACCCACCTCTTTCGGAGGATGTGCTTATCTTTGTTCTGATTTATGGTCAGAGGACTCTCTGTCTTGCTGATGAAATTGAGGAGTGGGTGAGAACGGGGGCCTGGTTACAGGTAGCAGTAAGACCACGGTGGGCTAGGACCCACTGTCTGTGCATTCCCAATCTCTTGCTTCCCATCACCTTCTCCAGAGGAGGATGCTGGACCCGGAGCTTTCCGAGGCTAAGGCTTGCAGTCAGGGCTCCATTCCTGCGTGGCCTGGAGCAATTGACCTGGCCTCTCTGGGCCTTAGCCTCCTTGTTGAGAAAGGCGGCTGTGAGCAGAGTGCCAGCACCGGAGAGAGGAGAGGCAGACCACGCTCTGCGCACACCGTGCTAAGAGCAACACATCCATCCGCCTCTCCCTCCCCAGGCCCCGACACTGGGATCCTGCTTCTACCCAGGAAGCTGCCCCGGCAGGCCACCCTTGGCAGGCTGCTGGATGGTTTTGCCCCCGGGGGTGCCACCTCTGCTCACAGTCAATGCCCAGCTGCGAGAAATGATGGTTCCCTGGGTGGCCAAGATGCTGATCGGGCAAGCTGCCAGGGGTCTGTCAGTTTTCTTGAGACAATACCACGGAAGCTTCCTCTCCGCCGTCCCCCCCCTGCCCACACTGTCCCCCCTCTCCCCCCTGCATGTGGGAAGCTGGCTTGTCTCGCTGTGCCTCCAGCTAGGTTTCATTTCAGGGAGGTCACAGGTCATCCACCAGCCGCCGAGGAACTCCTATCTCCCTGGCATAAGCCAGGCCTCCGTCCTCAGCTCTGACATCTTCTGCCTCTACACCAGGCCCTGTCCGGGCAGTTCTGATCCCAGCCTCATTATCAACTATACTGGGTGGAAGTGGGGAACTTGAACTGTCCTAGGGGGATGGAACTTGCCCAAGACTGCAGCCTGTGAGGGGCTGAGGGAGCCGCCCAGTCTGTGCTGGTCCCCATGAGACGTGACAATGACCAGCTGGCGAGGTGGACACTGGCTGCAGGGGGAGGGCTCTCCCCCGGTGGGTTCCCACTGTGTGGGCCCAGGGTTTCCAACGCAGCACCAGAGGTGACACAAAATGTCCGTTAGGTGGCGCCTAAGTTCTAGAAAAGAGTTTGGTCCTGCAAAAGAGGGTCCCAAAGCTGTGACTAGGGAAAAAGGAGAGGGCGGGATTCAGGTTGCAACTGTGGGCAGCGTGGCTTGGGGCTGCCTGCTTTACTAGACCCCACTTACTCAACAGACAAGGGTGAGGGGAGCACTGTGGAGCCCTGAGTCCAGTCCCTGCCGTTGTCCCAGGGTGGGGCAACACTTTCCAAGCTCAGGTACTTGGCCTCTGCTGCACCATGACCACTTCTGCCCAGGCAGGGGAAGGAGGCCAGGTAGACCAGTTGCAGGGCATCAGGATCCTGCCTTCCCAGCTGGAAACGCAGCCAAGAAAGACCCAGCCATGGGGGAGCCAAGTCAGGAGACCTTTATTGACTGGAGGAGGTGGGTACGGGACTGCAGGGGCTCTCTAAAGCTTCGGCCTCCAAGACAGCCTGAGAGGAGGCAGAGGGTAGGGGGACTCTGGGCAATAGAATCTCATTGGCCCAGATTCCAGAAGAAGCGATATATGTGTATGCCTCTGGCGGGCCCCACAGGTCAGAGGTCAACACCCTGCAAGAGGTGCTGAGTGGGGGGAGGGCACCAAGGCAGGGCGGAGACCCTAAGCTTGCTGTGCTGACTACCACGCCAGCAGTGGGAGAGCCTCCGACGACAACTCAGAGCCCCTGTGGCAGCCTCCGTCCTCCGGCTGCTGTTCTAAACGCTGCTTCTCTTCGAGGTTTCTGGCCCATCCCTCCATCTTCTTCCTACACATCTCCCTTTGCCTTCACCTCCGTCCTGCTTGGCTTCCTCAGTGACAATGGCCAGGGAGTCACTGCCAGGGCAGGCTGAGCTTTCTCCTGATTGCTGTCCAGACAGGGCACAGTACCATGGGTCCTCGGTGCTGGTCACTGGGGGCTCCTGACCCTGAGGGGAGGGACGAGGAGGCAACAAAGGGACCTGCAGAAACAGCACGTCTGGTGCGGTGCAGACCCCAGCCCAGGCCCAGGTCCCCTCACCCTGCCCACGAGTCCCCAGATCTAGAGAGCCCCGCACCCCAGCTGCCCCTCTCCTGCTACTGTCCCTTTTCCTGCCCAGAGGCCACTCCCTCCTAGATGGCTCCCGGCTCTCACTTGTCTAGCGTTCCTCCTGCCTTCTCCCTTCCCCTTTCTACTACCCTCTCTACTCCCTTCCAGAACAGTCCTCCAACCTTCCTGCCTGACCCTTCTACCTTTGTGGCCATCTTTATGGATGTGGGTCCTCAGCCCAGCCAATTGTGTCCCCCCACCCCGCCCCTATACTGGCCTGGCTGCTGCAGGGAGGTCAGCCCTGTGACCCCACCCCTACCCCAGGCATGTGGGGAGGGGCCTGGCCAGGGCGGTGGGTCACCATGAGCAAGAAGAGCTGCGGCCATTCCCATCCTGATCATGCCACGCTCAGAGGGGGGCACTGTGGATTCTGTGCCACCTTGCTGAGGGTGGGGTGAAGCTTCTGATCCCTGAGTGGAGCCACAGGTCTCCAAGGCCAAGATGAGTCTCCGTGCGCCATCCAGCAGGGCTGGCTGCAGCTCTCCTACAAGCTGGACTTTGAGACCAGCGCAAGGCCTGATGGGAAGCGTGGTCCCAGGACACCCTCAGCCCCAGGCCAGCACTGGTGGCTCAGAGGGGCTAGGTAGCAAGGTAGCCAAGCCGAGACCCGTGTTTCCCTCTCATGCCTTATCCTCCATGGTCAGGACAGACTCCGACATGCCACATCCCCCCAAGGCTGAATCAACACGGGACAGACACAGCCATGCCCAGTGCTGGGCTCTGGGGAGGAGCAGCAGGGCAGCCCCAGGCTCTGGTCTAGCCCTACCCCATGCGCCCCATCTGGCTGGGGTCCCCCAGCCAGACCCTCCACCTTCTTCTCTCTCAGACCTCAGAGACACAAGGCTGGGGCCTGGGAGGCTGGGGAGCCCTGTCCACAGGTGGTTTCCTCAGGGGGTGGCTCGTAGATGCTGCAGTTGGGGGTGGGCCCGTGGCAGTAGACGTTGAGGTAGCTGCGGTACTGGTCCCTGTACGCGTGGCTCTTGAGGCACAGGGCCACGCTCCGGTCACACTCACACGTCTCCTTGTCACACTCTGTCTTGTTGAGCTCACCTGTCGGGGTGGGTGATGGGAAGGAGCTTAAGTCAGGACATGGGGTGCTGGAGTGGACCCAGACCAATAGCAACATTGCCGTATTGGGCCCCACTCCACTATGCCAGCCTGGTGGGACTCCAGCGTTTCAAACTGAGGGAGCCGTGCGAATCCAATATGGTATGGTACAATTGGGGAAACTGAGGCCCACCCTCAAAGGAGGTCACCTCCTACAGTCTCAGACCTCCTGCCCTTTTGTGGCAAAAATGAAGACCGGTCCCCACTCCAGAAGAGGGAAGCAGTAAGTACCAAGTAAGGAGAAGCAGTACTTAGGCTGATTTAGATTCATGCTTGTTAGTACTTACACCCAACTAGTGCTTATTCTAATTCTTTTGGTTAGGGAGCTTGAAGTCGGGGCCTTGTGTTTGCTGGGCACCCTACCAGGGCCAGGAGCCCCTGGCCATTTTTTATTATTTCTTTTCCTCGTCCTGCCCTGCTGACTTCAGCGCCCCGAATCTTGCTCAATTTCCCTGGAGCTGGCTGCCAACTACAATCCTTCAGAAGGGGCTGGGGGTGGGGTAGGAGGGCTCCAAATGCCATCCTTTCCTCTCTCTGCCTCCGGAGTAGCTGGGATTCTAGGCATGAGCCACTGTACCCAGCTTCTTCCTTTTATGCTGCTGTTTATCTTAGATGAACATTTAGATTTTAGCATCAGCATGTCCCATGCAATCTTTGGGACATTCTTATATCATGAACCCTGTGTCTGGCAAGCCTGCCTGGAGTCCCGGCACTGGTTGGTAAGGGTTGCCATCTACCTCCCCGCCCCCCCACCCCCCATTCCCAGCTTGGATGTGGGGGAGTGACTCACTGCAAACAATCACTGTGTCATTCTCAATCCTGTGGTCATAGTGGTCAACGTAGGGGCGGCAGCCGAGGTCAAAGAGCTTCTGATAGCAGCAGTCATGGGCATGGCAGCACCTGGGGGCAGCAAAGGTGAGCAGGGGGTTTGGGGGCAGCTGGCTAGTCTGTCTCACTCCCAGTAGTAACTTGGGGATTATCTATTCCAGTCCCTCTTGGGCCAGACCTTCAAACAGGTCCAGAGAGGGACAGTTATTTGTCTGAGGTCACAGCTAGACAGAGCTGCGTCTGCTGCCCTGGACTTCTGTCCTTGATCCTGTCCCTGTCCTATCTCCGGTTTCCCCTTGGAGCCTTAGCGGAGGGACATCCTGTAGTATGGTCCAGCAATGAGGCGGGCAGCTAGGCCTGGCTCTGAGGAGCCCGGGCTGTACTCATAGGCTGTGTGCCTGGCTGTGCCTGATGGCCATGCTAGCTAGGGGCTCTGGGGAAAGTGAGCTCAGAAGCTGGGGCTTCGGGGAGCTCTCAGCCCATAGATCTGATGGGAGCGGCTGTCACGGGCCTGGTGTTTAGGGAGCATCAGCTGTGTCACCATTGTCCCCACATATTCTTTTTGGAGGGACATGCCTAGAGAGGGGATGGACGGTGACATTTCTAAGCCCAAGACCTTGGGGACAGACAACAGAAAGTCTTAACAAGCAAAGATCAGGCTCTTGGCCCCTAAGTCATCAAACAAGCCAGTCCTTTGTAAAGCAGTCCTCTACCTCGTGGAGGTAGAGGTCACTCTGACCTTCAGCTGCCCTTTCTTGGTCCTGACAAGGGCCCTGGCATCCAGCACCTACCAGTCCACCTCATCCATGGGCTGGCCACGTCCCCCCAGCCCGCAGTAGCACCCATAACCCACAAAGGCCAGGATGGCGCTTCGGCCTGTGACTGCCTCCACCATGGACTTCAGGTTGAACAGGCTGCTATGGGCTGTGGAGACAACTGCAAGAGAAGCAGGAGGGTGAGCTGTGCCCTCGCCCGCCACCCGTCCTGCTCGCTCCCGGCCTCCACAGGCCCCTGCACGGATGAGGAAATGTTGGGGGGAGGAAGCCAAAGATTTCAGAACCCGGCTGGGGGCTGGATGCTCCCCTCCTTCCCCTCCCCCCCACCCCAGCCACTCTTGTAGGTTCTCAGTGTTACTATCTTACTCTGTCCCAGCCAGAAGCGCTCAGACCTGCGCATCACACCCACCTGAGCCAATCTGAGGGCACCCAGGTAATGACAAGAGGTTTAAATTTTTGCACAGAGCACCTGGCCCAGGAGATGACTTGACAGGGGACCCCCCCCCACCCCACATGTGGAAATCCTCACCCTCACAGCTATGTAGATGCTGCCTGCAAGGAGCCAGCTCAAACCTAGGCCTAGGCCTCCACAGTCGGAAGAGAAGAGTAGGAAATGTAGTGGGCCCTGAACAGGAGGGGCGCGCACACACGCACACACATACACACACACACACACACACACACACACACACAGTACTTCTGGATATATAGACCACAATAAACATACACCAAGACAAGCTCACATACTCAGGCATCAGCCTGGAGACACATTTTATGGCCCTGTATGTGGTACATACACAGACGCCCCCATACACTGGAACACACCTCCATGTGCGTACAAACAGACGTGTGTCTGGCTGCACACAAACTCATTAACTCACGAATACATACGCTTAAGTCCACAAATGTCAGCAAACAGCACCGTTTTACAATGCTTGCTCAGCTCTGCACCCTGCGCCCTCACAGCTCGTAAATGCCAAAGGCCCACAGCACGTTTACAAGAGCCCAGAGGAGTAAACAGCCCGGAGGAGAGGAAGAAGCCTAACAGGAAGTGGAGGCCCAGAGACAGGAAGTAGAGCCCCCATGGCCAGTGGATCCATAATGGAGGCACTTGAGTTTACAGAGGAAAGGTTGAAACATGGAGAAGGGGGAGTCTCCCCAGAGCCAGTGCTCACCGCTGCCAGCCAGGACGGCGATGGCAAAGAATTTCTTCACACCCAGGCTGGACCTGAAGGAGAGGAAAGCCAGAGCCTGAGTCCTTCCCTCAATTTTCCTGTAGTCCAAGCCTGCTGTTCCTCCCTGGCTTCAACACAGGCATCACCCATGCTGTCCCTCTATGTCCCTGTCAGCCTGGCCTCCCCACCTCCCCTGTGCCTCCTGAGAGCACACCCCCATGGGGTTGCAGAGCCAGGAGGCACTGGAACCAACTTCCTTCCATGCATCAGCTTCCAACATAGGAAGTCATTCTCTCAGACCAGAGCCAACCACTCTGGTGGATTGCAGGGGGCGTTCTGGGATGAGAAATCACAGGACCCAACATAGCAGCTTGGTCTTGAAGCCCCAGCCAAGAAAGATGGGTGTCCCTTGGATTCGTGTTCTAGTTCTGCTTCTGAAATGTTGAGTGACCACAGTGAGATGTCTCAGCTTTTGACCTCAAGCATCCCATTAGAGGTTGACCCTTTTATTGCTAGAAGACACAAGGACATGTCTCAACCCAGCACTTGGAAACAGAGTCCTCCTTTCAGGAGGAATGAGCTCTAGGATAGTCCCTTATCACCTTCCCTTGCCCCCCTCCAGAAGCTCCATCCTGGAGCAGCAAGTACCTACCTGGAGGTTCTCCAAGGAGGAGAGGCCCTGATGTTTGGCCTCCTCCATCCAGAGGGGCATCTAACCAGCACCTTCTTCCTGAACCCTTTGGGGTTGGCCTGTGCCCCATCTGTCATGTCCTGGGCTCTGGGGGGCCAGCGACATAGGGCTCGAAAGGTCCTGAATATGCTCAGAAGGCTCTGGGGAGCAGGCCCCAGCTTCACACTGCCATGCACACTGGCAGGACAGTGCTGGGGCGATGCCCCTGGGCAGGAGGCAGCAGACAGGTGCCCTAGAAAAAGGAGGCTCCACCTCCTCCCGCCCACTGCCACAGCCCTGCCCACAGCTGCTGGCAAAGTCACCACCCCTCACATAGTCTAGCCTGGCCCCCTGGGTGGAGTTATATACCAGGAATTGCCTCCTGTGTGTACCTGAAATTAGCTGGAAGATATGGCCATCCCCTTCTAGAAGATGCTAAAGAACAACAACAACCAAAAAAAAAATTCATTCACTGATCCCTGTTAAAGCCCTTGAACTTTATGGGGGGGGGGAGGGATCCATCATATAAATAAGTGTAGAGCTGTTACATCTGGGTCTCTGGGTGAGGAAGAGAGATGGGGTTGGACCCCCAAATCCAATAAGGAAAAGTGGGAAATTCCAGCGCAGGGCTGTGTGGAGGAGAGCTAGTGGCTGGAAAATGACCCAAAGGATCCCTCAGAGGTAAAGGGATTTCTGGTTCAACTGACTTGACAGGATTCTTGCTGAAGAAACCTGGTAAGTAGACATCCCTTGTGGGGGGCGGGGTGGGGTGGGGAACCCATCAGATATGAGGGTGATCTATTAGAGGGGACGGAGATTGTAGCTGAACCAACGCAGCAGGATTCTTACTGAAATCAGACAGTGCACACTCACTCATGCATCAAGGCCTTCTTGAAAAAAGTTCAGAGTCTCATCAAGAAAAGGATCTATGTCTGATCAAGAAAAAGACATTCGTTCAGGTTCCCCTGGCCTCTGGGAGGCATCACAACTAAAAGTGTCTCTGGACACTGACAAATGTACCCAGGCACCATTACCTCTGGTGGAGGGGCTGGTGGGCCAGAGAGTCCGTACGGATGGCTCCTCCTTAGACTCCAATCCCAGCATCCTCTGCTTCCTGGCAGAGAACTTGGCTGGCACTCTTCCTTTTCTGCCTGGTCCTTAGCACCAAGACCTCACCAGGTAAGACTTGTCCTAGCCCAAGTCAGGGGTCCTGTGCTATGGGGCATGTATAAAGATCTGCTTGCTTAAGAATCCCAAGGTGAATTAGAAGATGGGAGCAGGGAGAGGAAAGGAAAACACTCTTGGAAATGGACACGCCACACATGGACCTCTAGCCTGGACATGACACTTCTCTTCCAGTGTCCCTGCACCTGCTAAGGAGACACACCAAGGAGCTTTTGGGCTCCCATTCCTAACCCTGACTTTGCCAGCTTCCTCTTCTGGTTGTCCCCAAACCAACTGGCCTATCTCCTGTGTCATTCACCCCCAGCTTCCTCTTCGTGGAGCCAGGTCTCTCTCCTTCCCTGGAAGTTATTCTAGAAATACCAGGCCAAATCCATTCACAAGCCCTTCCATACAAAGGAGGTAATTTGCACTTGTGCGTGCATTCCTTTATCGACATCTCTATGTGTTTTGGCTGGGGGATCCGGACAGCTCATTCAGACTAGGAATCCTATAGAGCAAGGGCCCTTATTTCCTCCATGAGCCCGGGGGTTCCCTGTGGGCTAAGGATGTCACTCTGCCTCCTCAGACTGAGTGACAAGGTTGCTTTATCACCTGTCTGCCCAAGTCTGGGTTTCTATTCTTGCTTTCATGCTTACATTCATCTCTTAAGGAGCTTCCCATGCTCTGAGGGAAGAAAGAAGATATAAGTCTGAGGACAGTGCCCATGCTGAAAAACCCAGCTTCTAACCTATAGCTCTCTGGGGGTCTCTGGATTCACATGCAAGGGTCCAGGGCCAAGGACCCCTGAGAGCCTGTGCTGGGCCCCACTGCCACTTTCTCCTCTGCAAATCCCACTGGAGAAGCTGCACTGGGCTGGTCACACTGGTCTCCATGAAGCTTCCCCCACCCCCAGGGGAAGGAAGGGTGCCTGGCTCACCTCCTTCCCCACACCTAGCCTGGGTGTGCTCAATAATCATGTCAATAATAAACTGGTCAACCCAGAAATTCTACTTCTGGGTTTGTAAACCAAAATACAAAACCTGAGCTGTTTTTCAGAGACAAATGCGAAAGGACAGTAACTAAGGTAACAAATCCAAAGCAATTTACAGAGGGGAACTCATTAGGCAAACTATTGAAGACTAGTTGATGTTTCAAAAAAAGCACATGGTGGTTTTGGAAGAGAGGGGAGGGAAGAGAAGGAGAAAGGGAGAGAGAAGGATAGAAGAAGAGAGAGGAGAGAGAGAGAGAGAAGGAAAAGATCCTCCTGTCCCAAGTCTCTTTCCCAGATTTTGGCACCAAAACATACAAAAAGAAAAAGAGCAGAAAGGCAAACTCAATAAACCAACAGCAGGCCAGGTGCCAGTGGCTCATGCCTGTAATCCTAGCTACTCAGGAGGCTGAGATCTTAGGATTGTGGATCAAAGCCAGCCCCGGCAGGAAAGTCCGTGAGACTCTTCAATTAACCACGGAAAACTGGAAGTGGCGCTGTGCCTCAAGTGGTAGAGCGCTTGCCTTAAGCTGAAGAGCAGAGGGAGAGTGCCCAAGCCCAGAGTTCAGGCCCCACGACCGACAAAAATAACTCAATAAATAAACCAACAGCAGGTTTTGGTTGAAAACCTGGGAAGGGTAACCAAGCCTCCTTCAGCCTGGCTGAAGGGGAAATGGCTCACCCCCCTTACAACTAGGGTCTCTTTAATTATTAGGCAGAATAAATGAAGTCAGGCAGGGCAGATGGAAGTGGGGTGAGATGGAGGCGGGGTAGAAGAGCAATCTTATCTTGAGTGGAGGGTTTCAAGATCTCAACAGCGTCTTTGTCTGACAGGGACATCAGCAGCAATTGTGGCCTTGGTCTCAGGCTCTCTTCCCAAACTCCAGGTGCCTTTGTTCAGGGGGAAGGGAAAAAGAGATGATCCAGTAGAGATGGCAGCAAAACCTGTTCTAAGATATGACTGTTGGGGAAAGTGAGTGCTTTTAGTTTAAGTAGTTTTCCATTAGTTAGAGCTATTATTTGTACAAAGAATAACTACAAAATGGTCATCTTTATAGAAAGCAAAGGAAATCTCCACAGACAGCCAAAACTTAGCTAGGTGCCAGTGGCTCATGCCTATAATTCTAGCTATTCTGGAAGCTGAGATCTAAGGATCACAGTTTGAAGCCAGCCTGGGCAGGAAAGTCCGTGATACTCTTATCTCCAGTTAACCACTGGAAAACCAGAACTGGTGCTGTAGCTCAAAGTGGTAGAACCTAAAAAGCTCAGGCATGGAGTTCAAGCTCCATGACCAACAAAGAAGAAAGGAAGAAAGGAAAAAGAAAGAAAGAGAAAGAACAAACGAACGAGAAAGAAAGAAATCGGGAAAGAAGAGAGGGAGGGAAGAAAGGAAGGAGGGAGGGAGGGAAAGGCAAACATGTGGTTTCAATTTTATTTGTCATCATTGTGTTAATATAAATGTGACAATACATTCAACAACTCAGATAAAATGGCAAAGTTCCTTGAAAGACAATATACACTCACTCGACTAGAAGTAGCCTTGTAACTACTAAAGACATGGAACTTGTAGGTGAAGCCTTTCCTGGGAATGCCCTCTGGTTTTACAGGCCTCAGCAGGAACTTGACTACACGCTAGCTCCTTCCCTCGCCTGTTGGTTTGCCAAAGTTGCCTTAGCAAAACATCACAGACCTAGGGCTTTCGGATTTCTTTTCTCACACTTAGGAGGCTGCAAGTCCCAGGTGCAGGTGCTGGTTTTGCCCCCAGACCTCTCTGAGTTTGGCTTTCAGATGGGCTCCCTTCCCACCATATCCTCTCATGGTCTTCTCTTTTCGTGTGCACAGCCCTGTGGTTGTGTCCAAGGATGTCAGTCATGAACAAAGCTTGCTTCTCTTTTGATAGGAAATCAAGTGCCTTGGGCCTACTCTCAATAGAAATTAATCGCTTCTTTCAGCACCCTCTATCTCTAAATATAGTGGTATTCTGACGTCTTGGGTACTAGGGCTGCAGCATATGAATCGTGAGAGGATGCGATTTAGCGCACATCTATTATTCATAAACTCCTCCAGAGGATTTAAACGGAGGAGATGCTTCCCAGCCCAGTCCACTAAGTCACCATTATTCCCATATCAAAGCTAAATAAGAAGCGTTATGAGTCAAGGAGACTCCAAGATGCCTCATGAACATAGACATGAAAATTCCTGACAAACAGAATCTAATAATATCCAACCAAAAATGTACAGTGACCAAGACAGGTCTATTTCAGGAGTGGGAGGGTGATTTTTTTCAGTGATATTGGGGATTGAACTCAGAGCCTCAAACTCAGCAAGGCATGTACTCCACCACCTTGAGCCTCACCTCCAGATACTTTGTGCATTGGTGGTTTCCAAAGTAAGGTCTTACTTTTGTACCTGGGCCAGCCTAGACTATGATTCTCCTGTGGTGTTTTTGCAGATTGCTAGGGATGACAGAGAGACAGAGAAACAGATATGCACCACTGCATCCAGACACTGCATCCCCCCTCCCCCTCCCCGTGGGGATAACAGGTTCATGATACCACCTGAGTTCATCCCTCAGTACTGCAATATATGTGTATGATATACAATATACAATATATGGTATATAATATTACCATATGTGTGCTATCTGTAATTTTTTTCTTTAGTAAACCAAGCCAGGTACAGTGGCCCTGCTGAGGCAGGGGCATCAGGAGTTCAAGCTAGTCTTGGGCTTCACTGTCAGTTCAAAGCCAGCCTGGACTGCCTATCTCAAAAGACAAAACAAAACCATAGCAATAACAAAAATGTCAACAAACACAAAATAGGAACAAACATCTTCAACTTAAAAGAGGATCTGCCAAAACCTTGCAGCCAGTCTCATGTTTGATGGTGAGAACTGAATTCTTCCTTCTCCAAATTAGGAATTGGACTCGGTGTTGCACTGGTGGA